GGAAATTCATCACACCAAGTCAGCCCATCCTTGATGTGCGTACAGACGATTATAGCGGCATTTGTTCACATCTGCAGTCTCAACCCACGATCGATATACTGAATCGAGGAGGAATACTTGGAGTCTCTCGCGTCCTCCTGCGGTCATCCCGCCACTTTACCCCACCATTGCTCGCAAAGCTCATGAGGAGTGCGGGCAGCAGGGTTCTGGGGCCCATCCCACGGGCAGGCAGAGGAACAGGGTAATTAAGCGACACTTCAGCTGCTGACCGAACACCTTGGCCGCGGCTCTCGCAGCGAAAAAAGAAGAAGAGAGGCCCAGACCAGAGCCAAAAAAGCAATCATCTGGACGCCTTCACATGGCAAGGACCCCTCCAACGCCGCCCCGCCACCCTGAGAATAGAGCTCTCCACAGAAGCTTCCCGTGGAAAACATGGCGGAGGCCACGGGGCTGAACAAGCATTCCAATCTCGGAGAACACGGAGGCTGCGGAGCATTCAACACGGAGAAGGTGCCTTTTGGGTCCATTGACACCCCCGAATCTTGATCCAGTCATAGACAGTTCCACGGGCCCGGTGCTGCCGCCGTGAGGAGTGTCATCAAGTCCCGGACGATCATACTCAAGTAGGTATGTTGCACGACAAAGCACAACAGGGGCGACACGAAGCGGTTGGCGGCTGGCGGTTCTTGTCACGAATGGCGGCCTCTCATGACTGTATGAGCAGTCACTTGATGATCCTCGATCTCCGCGACCTGGGGCTCGGGCTTGGGGATATGGGACTTGCTGGTCGGCTTCCAAGGAACGACAGCCCATCGAACCCCAGTCCTGGCCATTACCCCAGCTGCCCAGCCAGCCAGCCAGCCAGCATTAGAAGTATAGTCCAGACGACATAATGGGCGCTTGGTTGGTGTCCTGGGCGGTTATCACCGAGCGCTCGAGGCAACAGTACCAGCATCTCAAATGTCACTTGCCCAAGAGACTTATTAATTTACAACCGCATTTGGGCACCCTCCGTTCAAGCATGCCTCCCTCGGCCACAAGGAATCTCCTGTCCGTCTTGTCTCCGACCACTGATGGGTGGAGATTGTCCTCCGCCTCGTGCAGCATGAGCTGCCTGACTCGTGCCACAGTTACAGTAGCGTCCTCTCATTGTTTGAGCGCAGAACTGGCCCTCTTAGAGATCTTGTTAAACCGATCCAGGTACGCCACTACCATCCTCGAGCCTCACGGCCCCGTCCAGGCCTCCGCCGAGGCCGGTCCGGCTGAAAACTCAAGTGGGCTGGACTTGGGAGGATTCAAGGGCACAAAGGCACTCGGGACCCAAAAGTGGGCGCAGAAGCGTCATGGAATAAAGTGCCAAGGCGCTGCCAGGTCGCCCATTCCACAACAGGACAGCGATATGTCAGCCATACCGTAATCGCGTGCACGCTGATTCCTCAAGAACGAAGTCTCGACGACGCCGTCTCTAATGTGGAGGGAGCCAATGAATGGGTACCTATCGCTTCCCGAGGGAGTTAACTCGGGGGCTAATTTACGGCGTCTTTTGGTCAAGACGGGATCTGAACCGGTTCGCCCACTTTCCAAGCACTTCCCAATCTTCAGAAGGGCCATGCCCGAGCTCGCAGCAAAACTAAAGGCTACAGGACGTTTGGAGGTTGGTCTCGTGACCATCAATCAATAAACGAACGACGAGCGGAGGCTGCGGCTGCGGCTGTGAGTGATGGGACCTGCACAACCAACCAGAACCCAAGGGAATAACACAGTTCAAATCGGATCCGTTTGGATGCAGGCACTCGATTGAGCCTCTCGCAGCTCGCAGCCTCTGTCAATGCTACAGTACGTCCTAACCGTTGGAGTACCAATCGACAGTGGGCTAACGGCCTAACAGTCTACAGACAGTACCACCCACTTCGCTTCCGTGTGGGCGAAACATCAGTGGCCTTTTTTCGGCTTGTCCCCTCCACTCTCTATTGCAATAACCTTGAGGCTATTGTCGGTCTAGCTGCATTGAAACCTGCTGAAAGGCTATCAGCTTACCCTGCAGCTTGGGGTTTCTGAGACATGTCGCAGCGCAGGAGTGCCAAGTTGAAGCCCCATACTCTGTACAGCACCTAGCATTGGCCTAGTACAATGCAACCGCTGCCGCTGCCGTTGTTGTTGTCAAAGCCGCGGCGGCTAGCGGTGGCTGTCTTCTCGTTACTGTATCCCCACGTTGCGGCTGGATCATGATGACGCCGGGAGCTGCAGCTTTCTGGAGGTGCTCCCCCACGTCCTGACGACCGACGTCCAAGACATGGCGGCTGGACATGTGCAATCATGGGATTTGGAAATTGCATCACTGATGAGACTGGCGTCATCAAAATGGTGATGGCGAGCTACGCCATGCAGATACGCAGGGATCGGCGTCAACTAAAGCCACATGAAGCAAGTAGATTGGCATGGCAGGCCACTATCACGATGGTTGGGCCAGGTCTCTGGCGAGCTGCTGTCTCGAATGGCCTCTAGGGGGACGAACAAGTCCCTCAGGCGGTGCTAAAGAAGGTGTGTCTTGGGCGTCTTGGCAGATCTACTGGTTCCCATTAGGTGATGGCATGCATCCAAGCGAAGTTGGGCGGCTTGCATAGGGATGCGGCAGGCGGGTAGGTAGGCGTGGCAGGCAACATCGTCCTTGAGACGATCTAGAGGTGCAAGCCATCCAGCGGTGCTATTGCAGATCAGCTTTCCAGCCATCGAGGTGCAGATCATATCCCAGATGAGCCTGCCGAGGACGGAGAGGAGAGGGGAAATAAGCCGCAGTCTAGTCCAGACCACGCTTGGCACTTTCGAGGGCCAACATGGAGAGAGAACTAGGAGAGAGGACATCGATGGTTTCCCTCACGAGAAGCTCGGTACGATGCACAACTTCTCATGGTGTTGTTTCCGCACTTTGCTTTTTCGATAGGCGAAGGCGTCGGTCATGACACCCTCCATGCTTCGCGAGAGGTCGACAGTCGGCCTCTATTCTGGTCCACTCGCATCTGACAAGGCTCTAGCTCGCCATCGCTAAAGGCGCCAGCCGTTGAAACCGACAGTAGCTGCACTTCAGGTCCGGAAGTCGGCTGACACTATCAGCTTGGCTCGTAGCCGGTGTATCATGACTACTTCTGATATAGGGGTTGGGGGTGGAAACCCCGCCTCTCATGGCTACCTAGTTGACAACCAACGCTGGTGTTGACAACTGGCGCTCTCAGTGGTGGGCTCACATTCTGCCTTGTGGGCTCTGCTTAGCGGTCCTGTCAATTATGACGTGAGGGAGAGTTCCCAGAACGCTCGTTGAAGTGACCAGAGACGACTATGCTTGTTGGAATGGTAATCGTTTATCGACAAGGCCACTGCATCCTAAGAGCCATCTGCGAGCGGCCCTGCGAATGAGAAGGCGTTGTGCCATAAGACGCCTGATGGACGGGATTAATCGCGGCGATGAGTAGGGCCATGGCTTCAAATGGCGCATGACTCGAGGTTTTGCCCAAAGTTGTTGATAACAACGGCAAAAGATACGCCAGATTGCAGGGGAACCAAAACGGCTTGGTGTTGATGTTGCGAATCAGATTGCGAGGCAACGCCGAGTGAGTAGGGCTACGCCTAGTTGCAAGAAGCGCTTTCGATAATGACGGATAGCAAAGACGACGGGATCTTTGGTGCCATCTTTCGCGCTTCAATCAGACCGACCACGCAAACAGTCGAATCTGATGGGGGAACGGGGTTGACCGTAGGTCAGTGACAAGAGGCTGACCAGATTGCCCTGTCTCTTTTCTCCTCGGTTCGCGCCCGATTCCCAAAGTCAGGCCACGAAGGATGTTCCGGAGGGCTCCGAAAGCCGCCGTCTGGGGGTGTTACGGAGCCGAGGAGATGGGCATTCCGTATTTCAAGGCAGCGGACGGTACGGCCTTGAACTGGTCGGCGAGGTGTCGTAAAGTCCCCGACGGATGAACGGCCAAGTTGCGGCTCTGTAGGACGCAGTGCCGGCCGACGACCCGAGAGGTATTAATGAAGGGATATCCACCGAGCCGCAATGTCAGATCTTACAAGATGGACTTGCAGACGTTATTCAGCATGAACACTTGATGACTGTCCCGAGCAGTTGAGCAGTCGGCGGTCGTGCCGAGCAAGGGACCCCATCAAGCGGCACAGCTACCGTGCCTGGAACGGGTTACGGCAGACCGAGACGATATAAGAGTGAGAGCTGTGCCGCTCTCGCCGCAAAATGCCGCACAGGTTGCCGCTATTTCGGGGACCAAGGCGGCGGCGACCAGCGGCTGGATCGGGCTTGCACTGTTTAAAAATATCATGTTGTCGCGGGTAAAGTAGGAATTGGGGATTCGAGACTGTCTTTGTCGAGGAATATGTCGAAATCAGCAGATGGGCAGACTTTTGGTACGACACGCGCGCGCGTGGATGTGCGTGCGCAAAGCGAGGAGGGACAACAAATGTTAAGGGGATGATATATATTGACTCCTCTGTTCTATCAGCGAGATGTCTTTCTCCTCTACTCATTCTCTCGAATCTCGTTGGAATTCAGCATCTCTTTTGCGCTGCGCCTATCTCTACCTATCTCTCTCAAGCCAAAAGTTTAAAGGCCCTCGGCGTCTCGGTCATAATTCGGTCTTGGTTACAACGGACGGCTTCGGAAGAATCTGACATCATTCATTTGCCGAAACCCGTCGTCATTCACAGCGAAAGACAAGAAACTGTGTGTGTGTGTGTCGATTCCTTCTCTTTTTTCGCATACGACGGCACACGACACACTGTCAAGGCTTTTGTCATCATCGACGTTTGTTCGGGATACGCGATAATTGTATTTTCATCAAAAACACACCATCAACATAAAAAGACCGACAGCCTGCGCATCAAACAGACGCCTTCTCATATCAAATCGGCCTTCTTTGATAACTCTCCGAGAGCCATTTTTTACCAATTGACCCACACTGGGCTGAGCGCGGGCACTGCAACCACCTCATTCCCTATCATACGACATTTATTACGACCTCATCCACTTCCTGGGGTAAGCTACAGTCAAGGTCTTGAAATCTAAAAAGAACCGCACGCGAGCTTTCTCTTACGAATTGGACTTGTCAACCATCTCCCCAATACTCTACCAACTACCGCAATCATGAAGATCCTCACCAAGGAAGAGGAAGAGGCCCACTACGCGGCTGTCGTCAAGGGCGGTCTCATCGGAGGCACCATTGGCATCGGTGTCGGTGTTGGAGGCGTCATTTTCGCCTCGCGACGATACGCAGCCTTCCGAGGCCTCACCATCCCTTTCCGGACCTTCCTCATCACCTCGGCCGGTACCTTTGGCGCCATCATCAACGCCGATCGATGGTCCATGGCCTTCCAGAAGGAGCAGAACCCCATGAACTTTTACCAGGACGAGACCCAGCGCGTCCAGCAGATCACGCGCGAGAACCAGTCCGCCTACGAGCGATTCATGGAGTACGGCAAGGAGAACCGCTACTCCATCGTCTTCATCTCGTGGCTGGCCTCCATGGGCCTCGCTTTCGCCCTCGTCAGCCGCTCCCCCATGAACACGGCCAACAAGGTCGTCCAGGCCCGTGTCTACGCCCAGGGCTTGACACTTGCCGTCCTCATCATCTCGGCCGTCTTTGAGATGAACGACGCCAAGTCTGGCAGCGGCCGCTGGCAGACCGTCATGGTCATTGATCCCGATGACCCCGAACACAAGCACCTCATCGAGAAGAGGATTCACAAGGAGGAGTACGAGGGACAGGATCTCTGGAAGGGTAAGTTACAATGATATCTAAAGTAGCGAGATTGAGGCTAATTGAGTAAAATAGACATGGTTGCCGCTGAGGAGCGACGATTAGCTGCCAAGAAGGCTTCCGAGACCAAGATCTAAGCGACCAGAACCTCTGAACAACCACATGACAACCACACATCATCGACGAAACCCCTACGAATCACCTCTAATAAAAAATCCACAAACCAATCGGCGCTACATCATAGGAGGAGGGAACGACGGAATTGGACCCAGTATGAATGGGTATGACAGCGGGGAGACGTAAGGAGTTTCATGATTTACCAACCAAAGAACAGAATAGTTCTTGGTAAAAAGGGGAAAGATTCTTAACATCACTCCCAACACTTGAAAATAACCTCTCATGTTTTTTCCTACCTGTATAGAATAGGACGCAACGAGGGGGCCAAAACGGGGGCATGGGGACTTGTATCAAAGGGCAATGACCTCGGCTGGCGATTGGTCCCGGCGGCTTTGAAATGATTTGAATTTGTTCTGTATCATACCTAGAAGACATGATGATATCAAAAAAAAACACCATACCAACAAGTATACATGCCTGCAAAACGTGATCAAGAATGAGGGTGGAGATGCTTGGTAGACCAGCAGCAGGTATAGTGCGAAAGGGCTCGTTCACAAGTTCAATTAAGAGCAGGCTTAGAGTAGGAGATTATACCCCATGGCAGAAGAGAGGTCTGTATAGTCTCTCGTCGTTATTCATCTTATTCTTATGCCAAAACATAACCTCAAGATATATGTCGTGTATGAACTGTCTGCTCGTGGGAATAACCAACATGTTAAATTCATCTAAAAACACTCATACCACCGACTCCCTGCTATATCTCTTTTTTCCGAGGCTCTCGCTTCCATCTCTTGATATCCGCTAGACCCAACCCTCTGTAGACAGTAAACCAAGCACAAACACACTGAAATACCCAAAGAGTTCACCCAGCCGTGGTCTAGACCTCGATAGTAAAGTGGCTGATCTGCGAGTAATAGGCATGCACAGCTAGTTCCAGAAGCATTACATCGCCAAACACCTCGCTCCCGTCAAAGCCGCCTATCACAATAAGACGGCTGTCGTATAATGCCGTGCCGTGGTAGCCGCGTCCAGAAGGTGCCTTGCCGTAAACACGCCGCTTATCCCAGGTCATCGTGACCAGGTTCAGTAACAAGACGTCGTTGGAGTACTCGTTGCCATCGTGGCCACCAATGACGAATAAATAAGAGCCCACGATGGTGGCAGTGTGTGAAAGACGGCGGAAAGCAACAGGGATGGGAACGGCTCTCCATACGTGCGTCTCGACATCGTATACCCACACATCATCGAAGCACTCGCCGCCGTCGGAGCCACCAAAGATGATGAGCTTGCTGCCTACCATGTTGGCCGTGTGGTAGCCCCGTGCCTTGGGGCGATAGTCCTTGGCCCCTGGGGTCGTCTTGTCAGGGCTGGATACTAGTCGCCATGACATTTTGTTGACGTCTGTAACATCAAGTCGCCAGATATCGTTCAGAGCTCGTACCCCATCTCCGCCGCCAAAGACATAAATGCCATTCTTGTACAGGCATGCCGTGTGCGCCCTACGCTTTGAGGGCATCTTGTCACCAATAATCCGTGGCTTACTCCACCGGAAGTTTGTTGTATCCAAAACATAGACGTCGTTGTAGTATTCAGGACCGTCACCTCCGCCAAAGACAATGAGTTTCTTCCCTACGGCGGTGCAAGTCATGGCTCTAAGAGGAACCGGTATGTCACCAACGACGTGAGGCACGGACCAGTGGAAGGAATCCGCGTCCAAAACATAGAGGTCGTTGAAACACGTTCTCGAGTCGCACCCACCAAAGACGTAGACGTTGGAACCGGTGATAGTGGTGGTATGCGCTCTCAGGCACGTATGAGGGGCACCAGACACGGGCGCCTTGGACCAGTACATGCCGGACGCCGGGGCCACGGGGATATCGGGCGCCGTCCTGGGATCCGGGAGCGGGGGGTATGCTGTATATTCTCCTCGCACTGCACGAGGGGTATGGGATCCATATCGCGCCGCGACTTGGGCAGTTGTGCGACTGGCTATTGCCGACGTTGACCGCATGGCCGTGGGCCGTCGAGCATGACGATCGTCGCTGGAGCCATCTCCGGCGCCGTTGGTGATTGACGGTGGTGGTTTGGTAGCTGGCCTCGAAGCAGACGAAGCAGGGGGTTGTGAGGCGCCTTGTGATGTTGACTGAGAGCGCTGACGTATTGAAAGATCGGAGGGTTTGCGGCGATTTGCCTGGATGCTCTTGCTGGCGAGATGACCTGGGGTATGACTCCTGGGTAAGGGCGTAGGATCGCTCGACTCGTCGTCGTCGGAATCATCGTCGACAAAGCTAGGCCTTGCTGCTGTAGGAGCGCCGACGGGCCTCTGGGCTCGCACTACCCTGGTCTTGAGAGGCGACTTATCGGAAGACCTGCCCGAATCCGCCATGTTCTCGCAGGTCCTTCTTCATTGCCCGTGGGAAATGATTGTAGGCTTGGCTTGGGATCGAGGGAGGTGGGTGGGGGTAAGGCGACAGGACGGTCAAGGACGGAGACAGCAAGCAATGCAGTTCAAAAAGAGATGAACAATACCAAAACACAAGTAAGGCACAATACTAAAACAAAGCCGGATTGGCGATGTGCCAGAGCCAGGGAGAGACACGCGCCGTGGGTTCTGGTGGTGGTGATGATGATGTCGAAGGGTGTGATCGTGCGGCGGCCACCTTCCTTACAATAGATCCCCTGGGGTCGAGGGCCCCAGGCGGGAGCCAGATGGGGGATGGGCTTATCGAGGCTGATGTACCCTGGTACCTTGGGCACTGCGACGTTCCACCAACCAACGAGTATCTGCTGATTTTTTAGCGAGGGTTAGCGAAGTTTAACCCCTGTGGCTCAACCTCTTAAGGGCTTCTCTGGGCATGAGGGGTACCTGATACATCAGGTCCATTACCTGCCTCCGCTGCCCGACCTGGCCTGGACTTCATGCGGCCTGCCCCACCAAACCCGCTGTGGGAAGGAGTCTCTAGCGCATCCATAGCTTGGTCTATCAGATCGAGATTTTTTTCTATTGTAGGGCCCTCGACTTCGAGAACAAACGCTTCTTGACAATAGCAAACGCCAGATCAACACTGGCGGTTTTTTCAACGACTTCATTAGTCATATAATCAAACGGTAAGCTACTCCAATTGACTTCGCGACATGCGCAATTCCTCGAGAAATTCCGCCTACCTTCTCTTTCAAACATCACCTCTCTCACCTCCCTCGCCTCCCACTCCCACTCTTACACTCACATCCCTGACCTTTACAAGTTCAAGCCTCACTCACCACTCCTAGGTTCTTTTCGCTTAGCTCGCATATGCATAGAGCGTATTGATTCTCACCGCTATCACTGCGCACTGAAATCATGAGCGAGCAGGCAGACGCCCAGATGGGCGGCGTCACTCCAGAGCCTCAGCGCGCCGAGGTTGCGGCCGACGCCAGCAACGTCACTACCGCCGCCGCTGCAGATGATGGAGAGAGGGCTTCGAAGAGACTTAAGATGAACGACTCGACCCCATCTCAATCTGTGCCCGGAGAGGGTCTACATGACGCGCCCGCTGCTAAGGATCAGAAGGCGGCCAACGGTGAGAAGGAGCAGGCTCAAGAGTCAAAGTCTGACTCCAAGACTAAGCACGTTGATGGACGCACCAAGGGAGTCGCACCCATTAAGAAGGAGTGGGTCAATCATGCCCTGTGATGTTGAACACGAAGCTAATCATAGCAAGGTATCTCGTTGATGTGTCCGCTCTGAAGGATGCCCCAGCCGACGATGTGAACGATGATGATGCCGCCGAAGGACGCGGAGCTACCAACGGAGCTTCCAATGAGGCAAACGGCGAGAGAAACGACCGCAAGTCTGGCAAGGGCAAGAAGGACAAGAAGAAGCAAAAGGGCCAGAACACAGAGCGTAGCTTCGGCAAGTTCGATGACGCCTTTCGCATTTGCAACAGCCGAGCTTTCTACCCCGAGTTCTCCCCCAGAGAGTGCAAGTTTGGCGACCGATGCAAGCTCTCCCACGACCTGCGCAAGTATCTCGAAGATGGGCGTCGAGGAGACGTCGAGACTTTTGAAGGCAAATGTCCCGTGTTTACGGCTCATGGCCACTGCCCCTCGGGCTGGAAGTGCCGCTTTGTCAAGAGTCACATGAAGGAGATTGAGCACGAGGACGGAAGAAAGGAGCTGGTGCTCATCAACACCTCCGCAGATAGCGGCCAGAATGGCGAGCCCCAAAATGAAGAGTCCGAGGAGCAGCGACCTGACATCTCCAACATTGTCAGCATGGACAAGAAGATTGACCTTAACCGCAAGCGAACCGACTTCACAAAGGCCGACCAGTACATCACCTGGCTCAATAAGGAAGCCAAGCTGAGCGAGGAGTTCATGAACCGCCGAAAGAATCAGTCCGACGAGGGCATCGAGGATCTTCGTGCCCGCTATGTTGATCCCCCCTTCAAGCCTTCTGAGAAGCGACGCCTCTACTTTGGTCCCGAGACTCCTACCTTGGCTCCCCTTACTACTCAAGGAAACCTACCTTTCCGTCGTCTCTGTGTTGAGCTCGGTGCTCAGCTAACATACTCTGAGATGGCCATCGGAATGCCTCTGATTCAGGGAACCAAGGCTGACTGGACCCTCCTCAAGGTCCACGACTCGGAACTCACTCCTCCCAAGATGAACACAGGGTCGGTGCCCATCTTTGAGGACTATGATCACTCCCGAGATCTCAAGTTTGGTGCTCAGATCTCAGGAAACAACCACTGGGTCGTCTCCAAGGCCGCCGATGTTTTGAACCGCTACTGCCCCCATCTTCGCCTCATTGATCTCAACTGTGGCTGTCCTATCGACATGGTTTTCAAGTCTGGCGGTGGATCAGCGCTTCTTGAGAACCACGGCAAGATGGAACGTATGATTCGAGGCATGAACGCCATGTCCGGGGAGATTCCCATCACTGCCAAGATAAGGACTGGCATCCGGAACAACCGGCCTACAGCGACTCAGCTCATCGGCAGACTGGCCTTTGGTGCACGAGAGCATCGTGAGCGCCTCGGTGCCCCTGGTTGCGCTGCCCTGACTCTTCATGGACGAAGCCGTGAACAGCGATACACCAAGAAGGCTGACTGGGGCTACATTGGAGAGTGTGCCGCTCTAATCAAGAGCTACAACAAGCAGAAGGACAGCCTCACCGACACAGCTGCCGAGCCCGATGAGAGTTCCCTCCCCAACGCCAAGGACGGCCGCATGTACTTCCTCGGCAACGGTGACTGCTACTCACATACCGAGTACTATGAGAATATTGAAAAGGCCCGTGTCGACACCGTCATGATTGGTCGCGGCGCCCTTATCAAGCCATGGATCTTTGAGGAGATTGAGAAGGGACAGTATCTGGACAAGTCGTCGAGCGAGCGTCTCGGCTACATTGAGAAGTTTGTGCGCTACGGCCTCGATGCCTGGGGTTCTGATGAACTCGGCATTGGCTTCACCCGCCGCTTCCTGCTCGAGTGGCTGAGCTTCGCTCATCGCTATGTTCCTGTCGGATTGCTGGAGTATCTGCCTCCCAGCCTGAACGACCGGCCACCCAAGTACAAGGGACGAGACGAGATGGAGACGCTGATGGCATCCAACAACTTTAGAGATTGGATCAAGATCAGGTACGCAACAGCTACGACAAGCCCCCTACAGTTCTTTCAGTGATCAGCAAATGCTAACATGTTTACAGTGAGATGTTCCTCGGTCCTGTCCACCCGACCTTCAACTTCCAACCCAAGCACAAGTCGAATGCATACGAGGCCGAGGGTTAAGGGGATGAACAAAAGCGCAAATGGAGAAAAGTGGATTTTCAAGATGATGAATGTGTCTTGGTTGGCTGCCATGTCGGATAGATTTGCTTGAGGAAGACACGGTGTGTGTACATGAGCCTTTACGACACGATAGGCCATGAGGGACAGCCGGAGCTCTATCGTAGGCCTCATGAAGAGGTCGATATGTATGATCGAGCCAATAACATTTTGTAAAAGTTCACACAAACTCATCAATCCTGTGTGCACATGGCAAGCGGTACAGTACGAGGTGACATGCCATATGGTAATGAGGTTCTGGCTTCTAAACCTTTGTCAAACTTTTTACATCTAGTCAAGTTATGAGCGTTTTTTTTTTATCTTGCTAAACCAGATATTGCAAGGTTATATATCCCGTTCATGTTCATAGAGAAAAGGGGGCTCGAAACTATTGAGAGCGCAACAACTTGTAGGCAGCTTGATGAATTAAGAATGAATGTCCCATGTTTATCAGCGTCGAGGAGCACAACTCCTCGAGGTATCTGCTATAAAGGAATATAAAAAAAAAAGACATAGTAAACCTGAACGCTAGGAACTAGTAATGTTCGTAAATAACCAAAAACTCCGTACTCATGTTTTTTTTTTGCCCAATGTATCCAATACACCCACCGTCTCGTCTTTGATTGAGACGGAGTATTCTTCAGACAGAATCGTACAGCCTGACGTTTCCATGTACAGTTGGCCCCGTTGCTCCGTCACCAGGTCGGTTCCTCCTCTTGTAATTAAAACCCAGTCTACGAGTAGAAGTGGCTCCTCTGCATGCCATCAACTGTGGCATACTCCTTCTTGCCCTCCTCAGGTCGCTCAATTGAGCTTGTGAGCGAGTTGGTGCGGCTGCTTTCGCTTGGTGCGGCCTTGAGCTTCTTGGGCTCCTGGGTTGGGCGCTTCAGGACTTCGAGATAGGTCGAGGGAAGATATCCTTGGCGACCATCGCGAGATCTACATTGCCACCATTCGCTGGGGTTGCCGGAGGGGTCGTTCTTGCTGAGGACTGCAACCAGGTCACCCTTGCGCGCCTCAAGCTCCATGCCGGTGTTGGGCTGGGGGAGGAAGTCGAAAGTGAGTCTGCAAAACTCGAGCTTGGAGGGATCCATCGGCTGCTGCGATTCCATTGCTTGGGCCTGAAGGCGCCTCTGCTCCTCCTCTTGGGAGGCAGCCAGGCTCTTGATCATCTTTGACATGAGGTAAGGGATACCAAAGGCAGCCAGGACAAAGAAGAGCAGGGGCTTCTTGCTAGCCTTGGGGGGGAGAGGCTTGCCATCAGGTCCCATGCTGCGGCCTTCGAAGCGCGCAAAGGCAGCTGGTGTGAGCGCCATCGCATCAGCGGGTGGTGGTCGGCCAGTGATCTTGGCGATCAGTGTCCGGATCCAGCGAAGGAGGGTGAAGATACCCAGTACTGATCCAAGGGTATCTCGAAGGTTGCCGAATTGCTCCGCGACAGAGATCATGGCTGAATATTGTTAGTGGCTGCGCTTGCTGTTGATACAATTCACTTACCAAAGAAGCTCGAGTGAGTAGCCATGTACGTGCTCTCAAGCATCTGGGCGAATCCGCCAAAGGCCGTGACGATGCCCTCAAGCATCTGGAAGGTAGCTTGAGTGCTATTGTTGAAGCTGTTGGTCAAGCTGTTGGGGTCGCCAGGCATGCCCATGCCACCACCCATGCCTCCGTACATGCCGCCGCCCATACCACCATACATGCCTCCTCCATAACCACCGTAGCCGCCGTACATGCCACCACCATAGCCGCCCATGCCGAGCCTTGAGTAGGGGCTTGAGTAGGGCGACGAGTATGCGCCGCCCATGGAGTTGTAAGGAGAGGTAGCCATACGGCTATAGTTGGCGGCGTTCTGGTTGACAGTGGACGTGAGGGATGAAGGGCGGTTAGGGAGAGGTGGTGCAGATGAGTCGGTAGTCGAGGTTGCGGTTGAGGGAGAGACTGTGGCAGCTAGAATTGAACGAGTCAGCACGCAGGCGCATAGACGCGGGGAAGCAGATGCAGGTGCAGGTGAACCAAAGAGGAGATGGAATTGGAGAAGAGGAAATGTTTATCCCGACTTACCAGCTGCAGTCGTAGCCGCGCCAGGTTGCTCCCAGGGCTTGGGCGGGGATGCCATGATGAAAGATTAAAGAAGGGAGAGGGGGGACCCTGGAGAAATGTATCGCGAAATCTAGATCTGTGCCGTCTATGTTGAACTGCCTAGGTCGCGCCTCTGCTGGTTCGCTCCTCGTGACGTTTTGGTGGTGGACCTCGGGAGGTGAACCGGACGCAAGATCGGAGGCTGACTCCGTGGTTTTTCCAGCCTCAGCTAGCGTTGCCGCGGTCGCGCGGGGGCAACGGAGTTGCCTCGGGAAGTACGAAGAGGGCAGCCGTTGCCAACGTCGATATCGTCGTGGCCGTCGTTCGTTTAAGAGGTTCAAACAATGGAAGGATTTTCGTCTGATGGGACACTGGGTTGTTGGTGATGATGACGAAGGAAGAGGATGGAAAACCAAAGGGGACCGACCGGGGGGAAAGCGCGACAGAATTGAAGTTGGCAGAGATAAAAAGTGGGGACGGAATAGAATGGCGACGAGCGTGATGGCTAAAAGGGAAGGAGAGGCGCAGAGAAATCCGGGGGGGCGAACGGGGCCCGGGGCTACGACCGATCCAACCTCGGCACTGCCGCCCCGCTTGATAATGTATGATATGCGTGCGATAATGTTTTGCTCTCACCGTTTTTGCCGTTTAGAGGATGGTACGCGAGTCGTGAATGCTTTATAATTGCAGCTGAGTGTCATGACGATAAAGAGTGACAAGGAAGAGTGTATGAGAGAACTTGCTCGACGATAGGGCTTTCAGCTCATTGAACATGAATATCAAAGAACTAAGCAACACCCATGTGCTTGCACTAATCCAATTGCCTAGGCTGTCCTCGATTCATTGCCTCGCTCTCGGTCTCTTCTCCCGCGGATCGCCGCCGTTGTCCATATCTTTTTGAGCGGGGAAACCTTCCATGTGACAGTGACCCTGCGTTTCGCCACAGCCCTCGGCCTATCATGTACGCCAGCCGAGCTACCCTGCATCCCCAGGTAATGAAAAGTTGCAATGAATTGGTAAGCCTAGAATTGTAAGATGAATAACTTCTTTGCTTTAGAGTGTTTCAGGGAGAGCTCCCGCTGTCTTTTAGGCGATTGAGGGACTTTGGAGCGTTAGGTTTCAGGTTGTACGTAGTATGTAGATCTTATGAATACACCTGACTTTTGACGTTACCTCAGCCAATCGAGTCTACACAAACATAACATCAACACAAAATGACCAAGAAACGACCACCAAGCCCAAATCTCATCCCCAACCCATTCATCAAGAAGAAAAACCTTGAATGGACACTAGATTCTCCATCTACTACCCAAACTGCTCATTCCTCTCTCATCCCTCTCCCACCACCCACCACGGCCGACATCGAGTCAGGATCAACCACCATAGATGACCACCTCTCTCATTTCCAAGCTCACCTTTCCAAACATGTTATAACACCATCGCCACTGCTTTCTATCCAATCGTATGCCTCACTCTACTCTAGCAACATAGGCAACCCCGAGGGCGCTCACTTTGTCATCCATCAACATGACCACCCCATCGCTGGCACGCATTATGATCTCCGACTCCAGATCAATGAGACGAGCAGCGCCAGCTGGGCCATCATGTACGGCCTCCCAGGTGATCCAAACAGTACCAGACTGAATCGAAATGCCACCGAGACACGGATTCATTGTCTTTGGGTATGTCCCGAGACCCACAAGCTCAGCCCGACAAGGTGACGGTGAGCCGAGACAAGACTGACACTAGTTTTAGAACCACCTAATAGAAACTGCTTCATCGTCGACAGGCTCATTACTTATATGGGACACTGGAACATACACTATACTCCCCCGGAGGAGCAAGCACTCACCGTCATCCGATCCCTCATCACCACCATCATCACCAGATCCACCACCCGAAGCAACCCCACAAGCTCTCTTACACGCCGCCTTTCAAAGACGCAAGATCCGCATCCGCCTGCACGGCTCTCGCTTACCGGACCCTTACGTTCTTAACCTCCGCCTCACCAAATCAGAGGACGCTGCTGGGAGAGCGAAAAGTGGACGAGCGTCTCGAACTAAACGCCGTCGTCGGGGTAGAGGCGCTCCGCAGCCACAGTATGAGACAAGTGACGAGGGTGAGAGTGAAGACGATAAAAGTGAAGACGTGCCCGTGACTGTTGATACAGCCGCAAACGCAGAGAAGCTGTCTGCGATGGAACGTGAGATCCGGGAGCTTGAGGATGAGCAAGTTCGTTTAACAAACGCCTACCCAGGGGCTTCCAATACCATTGGCAGCGTCCACCAGCGTCGATGGTATGTTTCGATGGACCGATCGGCCTGTGGTTTTGTTGAGAAGCGAACCAAGGGTCGCTCAACTTGGGAGTTAGACAATCATGTAGAACCCCACGAGAAAGGGCCTAGCGAGGCCCAGGCCAAGCCAACTGGTCGCCTGTCTTATCCATTCCACGTTCGAGGCGCTGAATATGAACGCAGTGTTGTGACGGGGCAGCGAGGTGCTGACATTCTCAAGGACGAGGGGGTGAATAATTTTGTGCAACGAAAAGGTTGGAAACCTGTGCTGAACTGAACCGAGTTACCCCTGTTATACAAGTCTCACATCAACTGTGATCATCTGAGATAATGGAAATAAATCTTATTCTGGTACATACATACATTACTGCGAAACCCTGGGCTGTCATTGTTGTTCCATGATGCCTTTTCATAGCCTCCTGGTACATGGCTGTATCCCTCGTCTACCCTTATGCCGGACCTCTCATCAGGCCCGTCTCGCAGGTTTAGCAACTTGCTACCCGGCCATCGCCATCGCCATCGCCATCCCTGTCATCCATCCGATACAAATCAGTCCGTCCTGTCCAGACTCATAAAACGCCTTTCCATGCTTGCTAACCACGCATCGTCGCGTCCTTGTAAGCACCAGCCATTCCGATCCCGAAACCCTGTAAAATCAAACACACATTTTGGAGAAATAGGAGCGTCCTGGAAGGCCTCTAAGCCTTGGGATCAACTAGAGTTGGTGCAATTCGCCTCTTCTTGGGCTCTTTGCTCTCTTCTCTTTCACCCTCGCTCGTATCTCGCTTAGTACCCGCAACACTGCCCGTGGTGCTCCGTGGCGTCTCCGGAGGTGTTGTCATTGGCACCCCCGTCACTTTACCCGAGTTCGCTGCTGCAATTCCCGGGACGCTTCCAGAAATGAGGGTAGGGTTGCTGATCACGCCCGTGGGCACAGTGCTTGACTGGGTCGTAATGGTTGCAATCGACGATGTCGAATTGGACCTCGCTGGAGAAGATGGGCGCTGAGAAAAGAGAGAAGCAGACTGAGGCGGTGATGGAGCCGTGAAAGAGCTTGCTGAGTTACGATGATGGTGATGTGAACCGTTTGGAAACGGCGACGGGGGCGCGAAACTGGTTGTCGGTGTGGGTATAGGGGTATTCTGATTTGATGACGAGACAGTTGTCTGGGACTTGGCTCGAGGAATCTCGCCCTTGAAGACCTCGCCTAATTCGCCAGCTGCGAAGGATAGAGAAGAACAGAAGCCATCGGATGATGATATCATCAAAGTCAGACCATCACTGGACCTGGGCGACTTGTTAGCAGGTGCCGGGGACCCTTGGGGAGCTGTACATACCATGCAAGATCGGTAAAGGTAGCGCAGTGGAGATTGCTCACGACGCAGATAGGGGACTTTTGTTGGGTATCATAGAGAAGTACCGAGTCCTGAGTAGCTACCGCATATACCATGCGATATGGCAGTGAGAAGGCAGGCCTAGGGCCAGGGGTGGATGAGTTCACTTCCAGGTTTGAGCTCTTTGACTCGCTTGTTGCGGTCGAAGGTGGAGGGGGCGGGTCCATTACGGAGGGAGCTGGGGAGGGCTTCGAGAGAGGTTCAGGAAGAGACGGAATGGGCTCCTCAGCGGATGACGTATCAATGGTGATATTTTTCGTAGTGGGCGGAGACTGGCGTAGAGTGTAGAATATGGGAGAACACTTCACTACCACAGACGGCTTCTTGTGGCCTGGCAAGTGGGCGATGGGAGGCTTGTTGATACCCCCTCGGGTATATATATAGACCGTGTTGATCACCTCGTATGTCGGCTTTGCATCCTTTTCAGCCTGGTGCTGATTCTGGTACTGCCCAGATGGAGTCAGGAGCAGGCTCCCATCGGGCGTGAACGTGAGTCGTCGGAAGAACGAAGTCAGGGTCTCGTTGGCGTAGAGGTTGGCATTCTTCATTCCCAAACCAGCGCTGATGGTTGACGACGGCTTCGGCGAAGGATCCATCGGCATAACAGCTGGTAGCGGCATCGAGGGGGCCGGTGATACAGATCGGCGAGAGGAAAAGGAAGATCGACGGCTGTGGCTCACGACGCTCGGGGGGTTCATAGGAAGGGCAAACGAGGTTGGTGTGCCAGGCGCAGAAGGAACTGGCGACCCAACGGAGGGGGCAGAGTCGAGGACGGCGAGCGAGGAGCGGTGGCCGAAGTCGGGAGGAGCAGGGCTGCTGGAAGAGATGCGTCGAGGAGGTAGGTCGGCCTTGATATGGCTCGCGAGCCTGGGAGTCTTGTCATCTTGGCTGAGGGTGTATTGGCCGTCCTTTGTTTTCAAAGAGTAAATATGAACGGATCGATCGGACGACTGCGTAGCGATATACTCGTTCAGAGGGTCCCATGTAACGCCCTGGACGTAGTGACTGTGCTCGGCGATTTGGCGAACCAGAGTTCCTGTTCTCGAGTTAGAGGTCGTTGGGCGTCGCATCGCGAAGTTGGATTTGCTGACCTGTCTGGGCATTATAGATTCGCGCTATGTTATCCATACTGCCGATGATGAAGTGGACGCCGTCGGGAGACCAGGCCAAGTCATAAATCTCGGCACCGCTAGAACGACACATATGCTTGGCTCTCCACGACTCCTTGTCATCTGAAGCTTCCGATCCGAAATTGTTCTGAGGTGCTTCAGTCGGAACCCAGAGTATCACGTTGCCATCGTCGCCGGCAGAGGCAAGTAGTTCGCCTGGAATTAGACCTATCAGTACATGACGAAACCTCAAGAGAGCGGGGGAAGCCAACCTTTGGGGGCCCAGCGGACAACATTGACAGCCTGATTATGCTTGGATAGGGTCGAGAGATACTCGACTTTTCGTTCCTCGCCGTCCACCTGAACCTTCCATATTCTCACATGATTATCACCACCAGCGGTAGCGAGACGTCCTTTTCCATTTGGTTCAAAGTGAGCCGAGTAGACCGGGGCGTTTTGGTCGTGCCAATTGATGATGAGGGGCGTGGCTTTCATCGCGACGACAAAGCAGATATGCTAGGGTGGACGAAGCTGGAGCTGCATAGGGAGGCGCCTGGCGAGGCTGTGGGAGAAGAGGACGCTCTATTGCTCCCACGCTCTGAAAACGAGATGGATGATCGACCGGGGACGACGACAATCTCGGGTTGATATGTAAAGAAGAAAGAATGCGAGGGTGGACTCGAAAATCGAGGCGTCGAGGCTATCGGCAGGAACGAATTCGGCAGCCCGTAGTGCAAAGTAAAGTAGTGAGCGATGACTGGTGAGTTTGAAATGGTGGAGAGCTCCAGGCTGGAGCTGGTGTGGACCTCGGAGGACTTTGATTAGACGCCAAGCTGTAGGGGGATTCAATGGCGTGAAGAGCGGGTAGCAGTAGATCAATCACGGGGAGAAACGTTGGTGATGCACTCGTTTGATGAAGGAGGAAGAGAGGGAGACGCGGGACGGGAGTGAATGGTGGAAAAGAGGAGAAGAAAGGGCAGCAGCAGCCAAGCCTGAATGAAGGTGAGGTTTATTTCGGCGTTGGATGGATGGATGCAAGGACAAAAACCTCCAGGACAGGGCCACGAGGCACGAGGCACAGACAGGTCTTGCTTCCTTCCTTCCTTTCCCAAATGCAAGGCAACTTCCAGTAACAGGCGCAGGTTAGGTTGTGCCGGTGCGGCGGACGCGCGGGCGATCACACACAGTAAACTCAGACCCAAACAACACCCACTTCACCCAAGGATGGATCCATTGGGTGGATGGGGACGGGCGGGCTTGGATTGGACGTCACGGGGCAACTGGGCAACGCAGGCCCTGGGGCTGCAACACCTCACTTCGCTCGGGCTGAGAAGGACGGGAGGGGACGGGGAGTCTGGGCACCTCAGATGGTTATCAGTGGTGGAGAGCGTATTTGGATTTCTGGTGCCCTTTGATGGCCCCCAAGCACCTGCAAGACAAGCACCTGCAAGACCCAGACGCCGCCGGGACCTACGCTACGCCAGCAAATGCGCCGCAGCCACCGGCAGCCCTGAAAACGAGTGCCCTGCCCAGCTGCAACCTGACTTTTTAGCGGGCAATGAAGAGGGGAACCCGCCCATCTCAGCAGGTGTCAGAGCGCCTGCGTGGTCTACCAGGGATGCTGCTGGGGTTCTACGGCTCGTCGCTGGGTGAGAGACGGGTGCGGCTGCGGCAACACCACACGCATCAGGGACCAAGGAATGGAGGCTGATGTTCATCAGCCCAGAACCGAGCCTCTAATGAGTCTGTACGCGCCCAGGACGGCATCTCACAGAGAGACATGATCCGACAAGCTAAAAGCAAAAAAATACCTTCCTATTATGCCGCTTGACAATTCTGTCCTGTACCGTATGGACAAGATATCCGAGCTCGCGGAAACCAGCCGGCGGCGGGGATCCAAAGGGAGAAATGACAACAGGTTTAGATTCCGGTTGGCCAAGACTGGTGGATGGATGGAAGCATCCATGATGGCTCTGTTTTGCTGCATCGGGCCGGCATACCCATGTTTTAAATCCTCATATTTTCTCAATGATCACAAGAGTCCAACGTTGAAAAGTATACCTGACACTGAAGACCAAAGACGCCGCATGGATGACCCGGTTCTACTGTGCAAGTCGTGAGGTGAGGTAACAAATGCGTGTCAGCCAGAGTCAGCATACAATTGTCAGTGTAGTGTTAGATTCGGGGCAATGGAGCGCCAATCATGTTACTGGTCTTGCCAATCCTTGGAGCCAAGCACCTGGAACCGCGAAATGTCGCTGGCCTGAATCTAAATCACAAGTGGTCAGCACGCGACTCACACAACAGCAAGGGGAGCGCCCGCATTATTCCAGTATGATGCATCATGGATATGGCCATGGTGGCGGATGCTCACACTGTACGCCGTGCGCCAACAAGCCCTGTCACTAAAGTCAGGACTGTTTTCTCCGATGCAGCTTCGGTCCTGGACGTCGTCTTGTCGCCGAGATATAAAGACCACCACTCTGCGCTGCCCACAACGCCGTCTTTTGCTAGAGGTGTAGCAAAGTTCATGAGCTCAGGCCAACTCATCCCACACTGGGCCGGTTGTCCCTGGCGCGGAAATTAGAACAGCGGGAGATCCGAAAATCGAAGGTCGAAGCTTCGAAAGGAGTTACCCGTACGGCAGTTCCTGATGCTAAGGCCGCCCGGAAGCGAAGCCCGGAGGTGGTGATGCAACCAGCCGACAATGCCGGCAAGACTGTTCGTTTGCAACTGATCTGGGCTGCCCCCGTCCAATGCCCACGCGTCTGGCT